CTTTACCGCAATACTACAAGAATTCTCAGAGCTGAGGCGACAGCCACAGGCATTTCCAGAAGTAAAGCACGGCAACCTGCATCACATCAAAACCACAGGCCCACCGGTCTATGCACGACCACGGCGCCTGTCACCCGAGAAGCTGCGGTTGGCTCGCCAGGTGTTTGCCCACAAGATGAAACTCAGGATAGTACGTCCTTCATCTAGCCCATATGCGTCACCTCTTCACATGGTCTCAAAATCAACAGACGGTGATAGACGCCCTTGCGGGGACTATCGAGCGCTGAACCGGGTAACCGTGCCAGACCGTTACCCAGTCCCGCACATTCATGACATGACCTCCTTCCTGCATGGTGCTACCATTTTCTCTAAAATAGATCTATGCAAGCATATCATTAGATACCCGTAGCACCGGAGGATATTCTCAAGACCGCAATAACAACGCCGTTCGGAATGTTCGAGTTCCAAAGCATGCTTTTCGGCTTACGCAACGCCGGCCAAACTTTTCAACGGTTTATGGATGGCGTTGTCCGTGGCCTCGACTTTTGTAAGGTATACCTCGATGATCTTCTGATAGCTAGCAGCACTCCTGAAGAGCACGAACGGCATCTGCGCTGCATCCTTCAGCGCCTGACAGAGAACGGCATCGTTTTCAATACGGCAAAGTGCGCACTTGGGGTACTAACACTATCATTTTAGGGCCACAGCATTTCAAGTGCCAGAGTAGAGCCCCAGAAGAACAAGGTGGAAGCAGTACGGCAGTTTCCACAGCCGAAAAATCTCCGCCAGCTTCGAGAGTTCCTGGGACTCGTGAATTTCTACCGAAGGTTTATCCCGAGATGCGCCAACATCCTTCACCCTCTCCACAGCCTACTTGCGGCACCTGGATCTAAGGCAACTCCCATTCAATGGAACGACCAATCGACACAAGCATTCCGGATGATTAAGGAAGCTCTCACAAATGCTACCATGCTCACGTACCCGCAGCCGGGTGTTCCTCTATGCGTCATGGTGCCTCCGATGCAGCGATTGGAGCCGTGTGGCAGTAGAGGGTGAGCAGAGTGTGGCGACCGATTTCCTTCTTCTCCAGAAAACTGAGCTCGTCTGAACGAAAGTACAGCACTTTTGGTGGGGAACTCCTGGCCATATACGCGGCTATCTGGCATTTCCGACATTATGTGGAAGGACAAGAATTTTTCGTGCTCACGGATCACAAGCCACTCACCTACGCATTGCGCGCGAACTCCGATATGGGTGCGCACGTGGCACCCGTGCCACGTGCGCACCCACGTGCGCCAAATGTGGCATCGCAGAATGTCCGCCAAATGTCATACCTCGCAGGATTCACGACAGATATACGCCATGTTAGTGGCACGAATAATGCTGCTGCCGACGCTCTTTCGCGCGGTCCAGTGAATGCCATCAGCCTGCCGAGCGGCGTGGACTTTACCACACTTACGACGGCTCAACGCAGTGATGGAGAATTTAAGCACCTACCGACGTCTTCAACCAGCGCCTTGAAGCTGCAATGGTTGGCAAAATCCACAGGATCCGTACTGCGACATGTCTACAGGCAAGGGCCCGACCGTTCGTTCCCTCGAACCTCCGTCGCAGCATTTTTGACTTGCTGCACAGCCTGGCACATCCCGGGATTGAAGCCATGCAACGGCTATGCACAGCGAGGTTCGTGTGGCCAAGAATAAACCGAGATATCTGACACTGGACACGAGAGTGCCTCGCATCTTAGCGCTCCAAAGTTCAGCGACATACTGTGACCACCTTGGGATCCTTTCCTCTGCCGGACTGTCGATTTGCCCATGTGCATATTGACATTGTGGGACCACTGCCGTTGTGTCAGGGGCAAAGCTATTTCCTAACCTGCATCGATCGCTTCACGCGATGGCCAGTGGTCGTGCCCACTCCAGACATGACTGCTGATACCTTCACCCGCGCATTTATCCTCCACTGGGTGGCCCGCTTCGGAGTGCCGGCAACCGTGACTACGGTTCGCGGAACACAGTTTGAGTCCGCCCCATTTGCAAGCGTCACCCGGCTCTTGGGTACGTCCCGCATCAAAACAACGGCCTACCATCCGATAAGCAACGGTATAGTGGAAAGGTTCCATCGTCATCTAAAGACGAGCCTGACGGCTACTGCGAGTCACAGTTGGGTAGAGGCACTACCGTTTGTTCTGTTGGGCGTTAGGACGGCTCTGAAAGCAGATATTGGATGCTGCTCTGCTGAACTGGAGTACAGAACAACGCTTTGCCTCCCAGGAGAGTTTTTCGCCACCAGTAAGGACGAGAACCTGTACGCAAACGCGGACTGCGCCGTGCGAATGCGAGACATCATGAGCAAGCTACGCGCTGTTCCTCCGCGTCCGCCCGCAGCCCGGCCAGTCTACGTGGACCAGGAACTCTCCTCCTGCTATCACGTGTTTGTGAAGCACGACGCCCTACAGCGTTTACTCCAGCCCCCGTACGACGAGCCTTTCAAGGTGCTGCAACGAGCAGACAAGCACATTACAATCGACAGAGGTGGTCGTCACGACATGGTTTCTCTAGATCGCGTAAAATCGGCACACGTAGAAGACTCCAACAGCAAAGCACCTGCACCACCTCGAGCTCCATCTTCGCAGGCACCCCCAGCAGACCCCGTAGCGCCGCCGCAACAAGTCCCCAAACGGTTTACGCGGAGTGGATGGTGTACGAGACCCCCGGTGCGCATGAACTTATAAACCACAGTTGGTCTTCCGAGTGCGGCCGTTGTGCATGCACTCACTAAGGGGGGAGTCCTGTGGCGACACAAAGCGGCGCTTCTGTGTGCGGGGAAGAGAGCGCATGTGCCCGCACGACAAAGTTATCTTCGAGACGAAGGGTGATAATAAAAGTCAGTTGTTGTTTGGGACGCGAGTTGTTCACTTGCTCAGCTCTACCGAGTGCCGCGGCTCAACAATACAATATTATAGTCGGAAAACCCTTCGATGACTTCACATTTATACCGTTCGAAAGGAGCTCACAGCCTCATAATAAACTTATATAGGCTGCAGCTAATGCTTTTTTATTTGAACTCATGAAACTGTAATACGCTAGTGTATGGGAATACGGCTGCTCCCAGAAAAAAAAGCAGGGTTCGTAAAGTGATATTATAGCACGTAGAAGGGTAAACGAGCCGTTCACTGATGCCTCTTTGCTGAAATAGCGAACGTGCTAGCACTCGTGACCTTGTATTCAAAGTCCACAAATGCGGATCGAGCCACGCAGCCTTTTACCCAAGTATCCCTTCATACTCCTTCGTCCAACAGAAGACAGACAAGGCTTCCTTTCTGGTTGAAAAAGAATAGATGGTAGGCATCGCACGCACACTGATGTCATTGCATGCACCCTCCATGTGATGGAAACGGGCAGCATTTATGCTTCAGCAGTTTTCCTCGCTATAGCACTCGCGAGATTTTATTCACGGAAACAGCATACAGAACGCATACAAAAGTAACTTATTTAGACTTAACACGGAACATGACAGGGATGATGAAAGCTTATAGAGAGTGTCTATATATTTCTTCTAACAAATCAAAAATATACAAAAACCATCGGTAAGCTGGCCTTTTTGATGGAGCGCTGTGTTGTCTTTGTTGTAAAGAATTCGTCCATTGGATGAATGAAGTATTTCGGAGCCTTTTCCTTAGGCTTCGTTCTCTATTACACTTCACTACACTCTCTTTACTACAACTTTTACAGGCTCTTCGACATTTATGTGTTCATAAAGCATGTGTGCAATGTGAGCACTAAGTGTTGAGCCTATCAGCTTTTCGAACTTCTTGGCTACACTCTCCTTAATTTCACTTGTGCAATCGAAAATTCACAAAATGAAACGAAATCACAAGTTCATGGCACATAATAATCCTGCGAGATGCTAGGAGGAATGAGGGTAGCGGATGGCAAATGCATGGCAAAGCACGGTAGAACTCAAATTTTTCCCATATGAATCATTTTAGAGTATGTGCCCTAATCATGTTCGCTCGTGAATCACTGTCTGGCGTCACGAAGTGCGCCAAAATAATGAGAAACACCAAGAGAGAATAACACACTCGACTGTCTATCTTCAGAAGACATTTGGCTTCTACATAGACAGCACGTGCTAACACGGAAACAAGAGAGCAGTCACGACACTGCAAATGCCGCTCTCAGAAATTGCAAAGCTGCAAAAAAGAAGGTGAAGTGATGTATTTTATGCCCAGATTCCCCACTCGGGTAAAAATAAAACTTCTAGCGGCGCGGCGCAAATTATTGTGCGGGGGCGGCAGCGGTGTGGTCTCTATGGAAACTTCAGTGGTGGCGCAAACAGCGTGACCGTAAACGGGTGGCGGCGGCACACAGCTCTATCATGCTTGTAATAGCAATCACAGCTTGAAAATCTGAAAGATGTGAATGCGCGATTGAAGTGCGCTGTTGTGTTCAACATTGCTCATCCTTTAAAGACCAGTAAACAGGCCCCCGACTTTTTTTTACACCTCCCAAACAAGCCTGCCAATTCATACAGTAGACTGCAGCGATCATATTTTGCGAACATTACAGCCCCGTGTTTCGCGCAGACACTCCATTTCAAAAAACAATTCCAGCGCCTCATTCTTCTGACCAATCCTTTTCGTACGCGCAGTGACACAAGCTTGCCCTAAGGCAACTTGACGTACCACTGAGCTCCTGGGTTGGTCCTTTGCCCTATGAAATGGCACCTTGGCCCAGTGATGATGCAGCTTTGACCGCCCCGTCCTCATTTGCATTTTCCTGTGTTGCCCTTTGCCGAGTTGTAGAGCTCGAGACTACCGAGAGAAGCTGTATTGCCAGGGAGAAAGGCAACAATACAAACCAACAACAGTCCACAGAAAGGCCTGTTGGGGATGTGTGGCTGCTTTTCTCAGATAGATGTCTGGGTAACTGGGCTTCACGATATGAGATTCAGTCACAACTTCTTAGTGTTCAGCAGAAAAAAAAGTAGCTTACCAGAAGGCTCGAGATGGCTCCAGATGTCTGACAGTGCCCACAAAGCTCGTCTCAAGCCAAGGAGGAAGCGGAATATCTTGTTGTAGCGCAGCAGGGATGCCCTGTTTATCACCACGCTAAGCGGCCAGTCCACCTGAGCAAGACAATGCTCTTCACTGGCAGCCACACAAACAAATCTCGACAGCACACTTAAACAAATGATTATGCCAATACAATTAATACTATACAGGCAATCATGTTGAACACCCGACCGCAAAAGTTAATGGGGCGTGGAAGTTTCACAAAAGCTATACTTTCGTTTTATCATGGAATATGAAATCCTAATAAGTACACCAGAAAGCACTTCATAACGCAACCAATACAGTCCCAGCTTGAGTAGAGATGTTGAGCCAAAACAGAGCACAAACTTGCATTTGAGCCTACATCCCACAAAATTGTGCCAAAAGGTGTACACAGAACAACAACCAAATAGAAAGTTTTTACAGACATTATCATGGTGATTGTCAAAACACTGGACAAAATGTATGGCAGATGGAGGACGAATGCACGTGTGTCACAGCAGCACAGCAGGCATTCGCTCTCCCAGCTGATGATGGCAAAAGCAGAATATTTAAACAGGAGGATCTTGTCGATTACTTCTGTTGCACAAAAAGATGACCAAGCTCCAGTTATTGACAGCACAATCATCTTTCCTCTTGGTCTCGCTTTGTGCTTCATGTGGACACGATGAGGCTGGGCAGTATTTGTCCATGTGTGAAGGCAGAGTGGTTCTAGGCCCGAGCCTGCCAACGGATGTGTCCACGTCGTGTTCCAGTAAGAAGACAACCATAGATGGTGCAACTGACACAGCTGTGGACAAAGTGATGGAAGCTACACAGTGAAATGGGGCAAATGAGTCTCACGTCTGAGGTCGCTGTAGCAGGGGGACATCCTTTCCCGTGAATCTCTGCTCCATATATAATGTTGCCACAAACACCCGCTCATCCAAAGAAAGCCACCATGGGAAGCACAGCTCTGCCTGTCCTGCACTGGGTGGTCGTTCCCTTCAGCTCTCCGAGTACAAGACAGAGTTCACTGTCACCATTAACGTCGAAGCGCTTGCGAAGAAGAGTTGGATTGCAGAAAGACAGGAGATGGGCATGGCAAAACACACACACTTTATCACATCAAAAAATGAGAAATAAATAAAAAGATGGAAAGCAAAACCAAACACTCGCAGACGCACACAAAATTAACCCAAAACAACCCAAACATAGTCAAGAAAATCTGACTGTAAGCCAGTCTTACTCCAACTCTAGCTTTATCCGCTACTACTTAGCCAATGTGGCATCTCAACAATTGAACGTTTTTACAGTTCATGTTGGTTTCTCTCCATTGCTGTGTGGAAAGTTTCTCAAGAGCGTCGTTTTGACGTCCTGCTCAACTTCCCATGATTGCGGTTGGTTAGTCCCGCCGAATGAACTGCTCGTCTTCATTGCCGGTATCTCGGCCTTCGTCGTCATCTTCAGCTTTGCTTGGCTAGGCTTAGCTCATCATGGACTCCCTTGATAGGGTCCACACAGCTGACTGGTGAGTGCTGCTACCGTCCTAATGCGAAGTGGTATAGCTGCATGTCCACCAGGAACTGCTGGGCAAGGATGCGGCAAGTCGGGGCAGCTTCACTTGGAAGCACCTCCGAGGTCGACTGCCATTTCCAGGGCTTCTCACGCCGACATCTTTGAAAACCGGGTGACTATGCTGCTCCCGTTGCTGTAGCGATGGTGGTTTCCTATATCTTTGCTGCTCGGAGCGCCACAGTGCAGTGCCAGCTCGTCCTCTGTGATTTTCTATCACAGCTCGGGCCGCGTACCACGAGTCTTTTTTTGACCAATCTCGTACGTGAACGTAGCGCACCATCGAAGTCTCACAGACGTGTGCTGCCTTACAGCACGTGCCCATTTACTTTGCGGGAACTGAGGCTAGCCTGCCACCTCTGCGCGAGCTTTGCCGCCTCTTTCTGCCGTTCTCATGTCCCGACATGACTCTCCTTTCCTCCGTGGTCTGCCGCGCTGGGGGAGCGAGGAGTTACGTTTATGCCCTCTCACCTGGTAGCGAATGTCGACTGTGGTGCCGTGTGCAAGTCTGTCGGGACGTCTCGTGTGCGCATCGGGAGTGAGTCAAGACTTTTTCGGGAAACCTAAGGGTGAGCACGCATTGCTTTTCCGTCCATCAACTCCTATTGTTTGGGGCTCGTCGGAATTCGCTAACGGCGCCTCGGGCCCGCTGCAAACGCTCACATTTTGTTGCCCCTTTGCGAACGCTAGGCCGAAGAGCGGTACCGTGTCCTAGTGCGTGGCCAGACTACACCGACCCGTATCTCTACGAAGCCGATGCGAGCGCCTTTTTGCCCTCGCTTGAGCAACCGGGCCCTTTGTCCCAATGTCCCCGTGAATCAACTTTGCCCACGGAGACATGCTCGCGGCCCCCTATGTAGTACTTCTCACCCGCAGCATCAATAAGACCATTTGCTTTAAAGCCGCGCCTGTATTGCGTTTTGGCGTTACCGCAGACAATAAGTGTTGCGACCTTGAACTGTACCGTGTTCTCGCCATGGCGACGGTTAATGAATGCCCTGCGGCTCGCTAAGACTGGACCCACGCTAGCGGTCGTACTCCTTCGAGATACGTGTACACTACACTGGCGCCGAACGCGGCATTAAAAGCTCTAAGCTTGTGACTGCTCCTATTCAGAGAGTTTGCCTGTGCGATTCGGGCTATTCACAAGATGTCTGCTTCGCAATATTTTCGTCTACTGTCCTTTTTAGCGGATGTCGCGTTGCACAAGAAAGCCATTGCCTCTATTGATGGGAGCCCTTCCACACGAGTCCGTGTTGCCACTTCCTATTGCGGTGAAGACACGAGGCACCTATCATCGATCCCTTTGGAGATGGTGCGTCGTTTTTGAATGGGCCTCTTGCCTTATCCAAATGGTATGCACAAGCGCCTCCAACTGCTAGTGCGCCTTTTGGCATGCATGGCAGTTTGTTGGCACAGTGCTCGCAGTAGGTTCCCCGCGGAATTGACGGGGCGCAGGCTTTGGCCCTCGCCAACTTTTGCCTGCCGTCAGCCGTGCAACCGACAATTCGAACGCACGCTGAACAGGCGCCTCAATTGTTGACGGTAGCCGCACCAAGCGCGAGTTGTTTGACAGCAGGAAAAGCCCAGAACGAGCTTATTTGGCTTTGGGAGTGGCGCACAGGGCGGTGGTTCGCCTGAAACTGCCTCACTGATCGAGCTAAGAAACAGCTCACCTTCGCTCGACCGCGCCACTAACGCACCAACGACTTCCTCCGAAGCCGGTGCAACGACGAAGACGTTGCTGCAAAATGCCGTGCAGATGATCCAAGCACTTTTGGGAGCTGTGCAAACGCTTTTGGCTAGTCCAAAAAGCGGTCACCCCGCTGTTATGTTGCCTGTGCCAACTTACAGCGGATACAGTGATCTGCTCACCACCCGAGATTACCTCGATTCTCTGTCACATTATCAGAGAGCAATGGGTTTGGATGATCAGGTGGTGCTCGAACGTGTTGTTCTAGCTGCAGTTACTGACACGGCGGGGAAATGGTATCGGCTTACCGGTTAGCATGCAGCAACCCTCGAGGAGTTTCGCGCAGCCTTTTTGCGCGAATTCCTACCCGCCGACTTCGAAAGTAAGATGCGGCGAGAGCTTGAGCTCTGTACATAAGCTCCTGACGAGTCTTTACAGGAGTATGTACGTGCGATGAATGAACTTATTTCTATCCCTGAGCCCCGAGCCTCGAACGAGGAACGCGTCGAACGGGTGATACGGCAGGCACATCCGACTTTTTCGGCATACCTGCGCGGCGGCCGCTTCAGTGATTTGGAAGCGTTGGCTGCCGAGGCGAAGCGCATCCAAGGCGACATTCTCGCCGCGCGTGCCTATCGCCCGCCGCCGCCAGCCAGCGACGCCCTTGAGCCGCGCTGCGCTTGGAGAGGGGCCATGACCCTTCCCCAACGGCAACAGCCTCTCGGCGCCGCCTTTGCGGCTGCAACAGGCGGGCAGCCTGCGCTGCTCCACCTGAAACCTCCATACAGGGACGCTTTTCGACCCAATGTAATGTCGGAGGTGCGGCTCGCAGAAACGTATCCTACGATAACGTAGCGAGCCGATCACGACAGCTCGAAGCTGCTCCGTCTGGGAATACAGACCGTGATGGAGTGCGCTGTTACCGCTGCCGTGAAAGAGGGCACATAGCAAGGGAATGCACCGGATCCAGGCCTCCTGCGAGGCAGGGAAACGGGCTTCCGGGTCGTTCGTGCATGCACGACCGACCCAACCTTTGCTTCTTCCCTCTGCGTGCAGGGCAAGCACTTTTCTTGCTGATACGCACGCGCCGTTCATTCCGGTCACCATTGCCGGCCGTGAATTTTCGGCTTTGCTGGACACGGGCGCTAGCGCCTCGTTGTTTGGCGAACAGGTGTTGTCCCACTTGCAGAAGCACTCGGTGCGCTTGCGGGACAGCCGAACGACATTCACCCTTGCAAAAGGCGTGGACCATTTGGCAGGCGCTGCAACGTTGATTATCAGATGGGGAGATCGAATGAGACGCTGCCGTCTTGTTCATATTCCAGGGCTCAATGTTCTCTCCTTAAAACCGGGATCGTTGTGGACATTGCGAATGATGGTGATCGTGATGACCCATTGTGCCAGCTCAAGCCGTTCATCAGCCAGCTGGCGCTTACCGTTGCCTTTGCCGCAGAAGCGTCAGAAACGTGCCCTGAGCAGAGTTCAGGGCCAAGACCCTGCTCAATGCATTCGCACTCTAACAGTACCCTCCGAGAACAAGAGGCACGGTACAGACCGTGTCGAGCCCTAACTTCGGGGTCGTACCCTGTCGTAACGCGCTCGTCAGCTCGAAACCCCTGTGTGGATCGACCGACAGGACATGAAGAGACACTACATCCATCTGCCCAACTCAGTTGGATGATTCACAGAAAGCTCATTTGTCGATATTGTTATGTCAGTACAATGAGCTCTTCACCAATCAACTGGGCTGCACCGATTTTGTGCGCCACGTGATCGAAACTGGCGACTCGCTTCCTTTGAAGTGTAACCCCAGGCCTGTCACTCTCG